CAGATAACTGAATCAACTGGAAAATTGCCTCACATCAGTGCCTCACCCGTAGTCTATTGGAACCAAGTTCAAGTATCTGCAATGATTGCAAGTGTTCAAGTTCTTCTATCTTTGTCACTTCGTTTTTTGAAACATAAAGCTCCTTGAGCGTGGTTGAAACCTTGGACAAACCACTCAATGAAGGTATCTCGTTGAAAGACACATCAAACACCAAAAGGCTCTTGAAAATGCTAACATCAGGAATTTTAGTCAGCTTGTTGTCCCTGAGTACTAGCTCCTGCAGAAGATAACTCTCATTAGAAGCATCCACAGAACAACACAACAAAAAACAAAAAATAAAACAGAAAACCAAAAATAGATGAAAATATATGCTAAATTTCATGAAATATTTGATTAACAAAATAGCCAAAATTCAGGAACAGTGGCCATGAATACAACATATAAACTGCATATTTTCCTTCTTGATTGTCCAATTTATCCATAGTTACTAAATTCTCTGAAATTTAGTGATAGTAGAATTTTACATGATTATTCCTTGGTTGTTTGACTTTAGTGAGTGACGTAAAAGGTAGATTTCTCTAGATGCCAACTTCTCTACTCAAATTCATGGTTGTTTCACTTAATAAGTGAGTGAGGTAAAAGATAGATTTTTTGAACATGCCAACTGCTCTAATAAATTAATTTTTGGGGGTTTTTTCCAGAGAAAGAAGAGGGGAGGGGGGTGTTTAAGCCCACAATACCAACTTAAGAAGATTACCAACTGATTGATAGTTAGTCTTCAAAATAGAACTATCTTATGGTGCCTTTTGCATAGTTGCGTGATTGCTTGGACCCCCTCTCGAATTGTCAAACAGTTCATGCGAAACCGATTCCCAGTACATTTACGAACCGATCCCCTCCGATACACGAATTGATTCCCCAAAATTAGTGTACCGCTTACTAAGTATGAGGGGACCAAAGTTGATTTTCTGGTATGTTTTCATGCACATGCGCTTGGATTTTTTTTATATGTTTCGATAATATTATTGAAAGTATTCTTTAACTCATGTTGCTAAGAAGATTTTGTCTCGACCTAATAGTAGCTCTTCGGCTGAGAGAAATGGGAGTACTTATTCCTACATACACAGTGTGAAAATGAATAGATTGAATAGTGGAAGGGCGGATAAGTTAGTATTCATCCATTAAAACATTCGCTTCCTGTCACGATTTTGTGAGAATTACAAAGTTGATTTATATAAAGGATGAGATATGGATCACATTAATGATAACTTGGAGGACTCTTCAAGTAAGTTGAAGAAGCTTAGATGGAATTGTTTGGACTCGGTATTAGCAGAAGATGCACTTAATGTTAAGGGGAAGAAAGTTGCAAAATAGGAAAAAAAATTATTAAGAGGCTGTTTAATATTTAATATTTTAAGTTTTATATATTCAAAAACTATAAAAATGAAGTATTGAAGTATTTTGTATGAAAAAATATTGAAATGCATAATTAGTTTTCTAGTTTCTAATTTTCTACTATACACTTTGAAAATGGATAAGCATACCCAAAAAAGTTACATTGTATCCTATATCGAACTTTTGTATCGAAGCAAGCTACCCGTCGAATCCAAAATTTCAAAGTCTTGAATTGCGTACCCGAATTCGTACGACAACACCCTGCGTACCGTATACCACGTAACTATGGCCTTCTGTTCCATAAAAGGCCTCAAAATTGAACTATCCTATGGTGCCTTTTGTTCCATAGAAGGTCTCATATCCAGATGGTAAAAGACACAGGTGGTGGTGATGATGATGGAACCTCGTACTCCACAGCTGGCCAGTTTGATGGATGTATTCATTCTCATTGAAAAGAAAAGGACTGAAACATCGGCAGTTACAATTTTGCACATTCTCAGATTCTGACCTCCAAAGTCTACCTTGCTACACTTTGGTCCTCTGTACTGGTGGAATTATTAACTCAACTTGCAATCTAACAAAAATCCGAGAGTCAATATGTTCTGGTCAGGCTTAATTGGGTTCATAAAATAAATAGGTCGGCACAACTGGCCCATTTGGTAAATAGATTGGGTTCAAGATTGACCCTTTGGCTCCTAACTCAAAGCGAACTGTGAAGCAATGTAACTAACTCATGGTAGCTACCATGTGCATCAATGGTTGACCTGTTCTAGTTTAAATCCTATTATATAACAAATATTTTTTTGTTAATTTATTCAAATAAAAATAATGGTTTTAAGTGAGACCTTTGGTTTTCATTTCTACTAAATAATACAATGAAACTTAACCACAAGCATGCTTTGGACAAATGGTCTAGACTCTATAGTTGTACAATCATCTAAAAGAACTGCATAAGAATAAGGAATATAAGATTATGCAGTTAATAAGTGTAACATGCTCCCATAAACGTATCATAAGAGACTCTTTAGCACGGCAAATCCCAGGATCTAGCCATAACATGAGAACAACACCCCTTACAAAATTTATTGTACTTCTAGTGAGTTCGCTTCTAGTTTTGGAATTTACACTTCAGTTTGTATATGGTATTTTATAAATGAATTTTCTATTAAGATTAAGTTTAGGGACGGAGATGAACAAGAACTAAAACACACGACTAAGAAGGAAAAAGGATCAATTCTCACTTTTAGAAAATCGATACCCACAAATGACAAACATGCAGTAAGCATATCTGACTCCTAATTAACATGAAAAGGAGAACTTTTTTTTTAAATAATGTGCCTCAACATCGTGCGGTATTATCGCATAGATTTGGCCCCAGCAATGACAGCTTGATCGAAATAAGTCCGATTGTAAATAAGCTTGATCTAATGCCAAGATAATTTGAAATTATAACAAATTATTCCCCCCATAAAAGCACATTAGCGTTATCCACATAACCCGCAAATGATCAAAACACCCCAAACATAAATTAAAACGCATCAAGTTTTTAACCAAAAGAAAAAAAAATGCAAACAAAAACGTACTTGCAATCCTGAAATCTCATTCCAGTTGGAGATCGCCTCAACCCCCTGATCATCAAAGAGATTCTGACGCAGAGAGAGCTTCTTGAGGTGCGAGAGGAGGCCGATCCTTGGATCAAGCTTCGAGAGCCTATTAGCCGTCAGATCCAATTCGATGAGGCTCTCGGGGAGCTCGATGTCGCCGAGATCGTGGAGCTGGAAGCTGGTGAGATCGAGGCAGCGGCCTGATTGATCGTCGTCGGCCATGGCGGTGTCTCGGTCGAGGTCTCTGTTGGACTGCTCTTCCATTGATTTGGAAACCCTAGGAGAGAGATAAATGGAGAGAATGATTTCGTCTCTTTTTTTTTACCCCCTTTTATTTTCTTTTATTATTTTTTTTTTCACTTTCTTTCCGGAAGCTCCTGTTATGGACTACGAACTTTTCGGCGTCGTGCTGGGGCACCTGGCTTTGTTTTTTCTTTTTTTTTTTTTAACGTAGTTTTTGGCTTTTTTTAATAATAGTACGGGAGCTCGTGAATAG